CACTATAGGATTATTTTAACTTTTTGCCTGTTTGAAAATGTTTACAATCAAATGTTGAGAAAAAAATACAAGGCGCAACATTTACCAAATAATTCTGCTGAGAATTTCATTATTAATTTCATGATAGTACGGTCATCATGAGAAATGTCAATTTAGAAACTTAAGTTTCTCTTCAGGGTTTGTGAAAGAATATTCCCAAGTGTGAGGTGAGCAGTTCCTAATTGCCAGTGGTATTTTGATCCTCTCATACCTTTAACAAATACATGTATTTTAATGATATATTCTGGACACCTTTGTTGGCTGTGAAGACAAACAGAAGATCTAAGATGAAGTAATATTCTTTTTTTTTTTTTTTGAGTTGGAGTCTCACTCTGTCGCCCAGGCTGGAGTGCAGTGACACGCTCACAGCCAACACAGCCTCAACCTGCTGGACTCAGGGGATCCTTCCACCTCAGTCTTCCAAGTAGCCAGGCACACGCTACCACACTTGGCTTATTTTTTGATTTATTGTAGAGATGAGTTCTCACCAAGTTGCCCAGGCTGGTCTTGAACCCCTGAGCTCAGCAATCCTCTCACCTCAGCCTCCCAAAGTGCTGGGATTACAGGCTTGAGCCACTGCACCCGGCCTGAAATATTCTTAAGAGAAAAATCAAACATAGAAATTGCATTTACCTTAACTTCTAAGCTAAAAAAGAGTCAGATTAACTATAATGGAAAAGGTGTGTGGCGTGATTACATATAGTGAATAGCCCACTGTGTCCTAAGTGCAAGAGCGTCTTAATCATCTCCTGTCTCTTTCCAAGGAGAGATACACGCCTAAAGACACACCATTCAACTTGTAAGTACTTCTAAGGTACCTCCTTGAGATTCATTAGGAACTGGCTTCAGAGTTCAAAAGCCCTTTTGTCAGACAGTTTTTTTCTACATGTCTGTCTTAATAGCACTGTTCCTGATAACTAGCAGTTGGTAACTAATTTTAGCTATATGTTAAAAATTCCTATAAAGTTACATATAGGAAGTATATGTATTGATTCAGAAAGAGTTCCCTAACAAAAATAATCTTGATTCTTTTAAAAAATGCACTCACTGCTTTCAAAATATTTAGTCACAGTCTTGGCTTTCTTTTGATCTCCAAGTTCTTCATGTTCTAGTACAAGTTCTGCTCTTTCCTGAAGTACAAGGAGTAGTGTTTATTCTCAAGCTTTCAAAATTGCTTTAAAATTTAGCAGTAATGTTGAGTCATATCCATGAACCTTTCTCAGTCTTAGAGGCTTCTCTGTATTTATGCATCCTTAGTTCTATGCTTCCATTACAGAACTAGCTTTTTTCTGCTTATCATCACTGATCACTGCCTGAGTTTACTGAGAAGAGAGGTTGTTTGTCTCTAACCAAAACCAGCACTTGCCATGCTTTTTTTCCCAACCACATTATGGGGGTACTTTATAAACACTTTAACAGTTTTATGCTCTTGTTTCTACAGGTTGGTACAAACTCATTAATACCCACTCCAAGTATGTGTTTTACTTGTGTTTACTGAAGAAGTTGTACAATGTCCTGTCAACATCAAAATACTCATCACTTGTCTTCTATCTCGCTAGTTTATCATCTTCCCATAAAACAACTAATTTGTCAGATTTCAAAGCCTTGTTATTTACTGATGAGCTCACCAACTCCACCCTTAGTATTTCTGTTATGTAATTCTGAATGTACATTTTCCTCATACACTAGTGAATGGAGAGTGAGGGTGAAGGGCAGATGGAGCTAAAGGGGTGATCATAAGCAATGTGCCATCTCCCCCATCATCTCACACTTGCCATCTGAGACAAGAGCAACACTAAAGAATACTCTATTTTAGATTCCAAAAGATAATCATAGTAATGATACCTTCCATTATGTATAACACTTTGGCTTTCAACACAATTCTTATTTTAGCATTTATAATCTTTCCTTTACAACTCTTGCCATTACTTATGCTTCTTAGCTAAACTTAGACTTTTCTATAGCATACACTGAAGTCAAATAGTGTTAAATGATAAGTCTCTACTTCATTTTGCCTCATTAGGGTATTTGTTGCTTTATATACCAGTGGAGTATATGTTCTGCTTCCAAGTGAAGCTTTTTATTTTTAGAACTGAAAGTTAACATGAGAAGTAAACCAGTTAACTGTTCAGTTATGCTCATCTTTTTAATCCCAGGGAATTAAAAAAATTCTGCATACTGTTGAATCTATGGCACTGTGCAGTCTACATCTGAAGAAATAATTCAGAGTTCTCTGCTACAATGTTGGTTACTTGCCAATAGAAATTGAGTATGATTGTCTCCCATTCTTACATCCTACACACGGTCCTGGTAAAATCCTATGGTTACTAAACGCTAAGCAAAGCTATCCTAATCATGCAAGTCTTGCCATTACTAACAATATATTCACTAGTGCTTGTTTCTCCCTGTACATTCTCTATCAGCTCAAGATATAAAGAATGCTAGCAGCCACAGTATGCTTAGCTTTTAGTAGCCATAGGATTTCACCAAGGCCTTGTGTAGGATGTGAGAATGGGAGACAATCATACTCAATTTCTATTGGCAAGTAACTGACATTGTAGCAAAGAACTCTGAATTATTTATTTACATACCAGTGGAGTATATGTTCTACTTCCAAGTGTCGATGTAGACTGTATAGTGACATAGATTCAACTAACCTCATAATCACACCAATGGTTACTAGGGTTTAGATCAGCATATGGTTTACTCAGCACTAGCCATAGAGTAACTTAATTGTCATGTTCATATTAAGGAGTGTGATACTAACAACAATAATAAAGAAATAGCATACTATATGTCAACTGATGAGTTAATCAAATAACAAACATTAAGACTAGATAACACCTAGAAGCAAAACTCAATTCTACTCCCTAGAGTGAGAGAAGTGTCCTATCTTTTATCTAGCAATGAAGCCTAGACCGGCCATCCATATCCCAGCTGGTAAGCAGAGTAGTTTCATCATCACCACCAATGAGTTACCCTAGCGGAATAAGGTCACCAACAGTGAGGACTGGGAGCAAAGCCAATCTGATGTAAAACGAAATTAACACCTTTGCATTATAACTCTGCTGGGTTAGACATGCGAAGAATAGATGTCAAAACTGCTATTGTATATTGAGTTCACACAGGAGCAAGTATATAAGAAGACAAAAGAAAAAATAAATCCTTCAAACCAAAAAACAAAACTAGCCAACCAACACTTCAACAATTCCCTGAGATGGGCCAAAGTAATATGGAAGGTTGTGGCATATGCCATGTAGAAATGCGTGGTTCTGTAATTGAAGACGTAGAAACGACTTGTGATTTCAAACTGACTGCAGCCACTTCTTTCACATGAACCCTAAGCTAACCATGACCCTCTGAAAAAAAGCCAAATTAGTGTGTTGCTGGATTTTCATTAGCTCTATGTGTATATATGCATCCACATATAGAAAATAGCAGCAAATTTACAAGTGAAGAGCAACAATATTTATTACATTAAAAGTCTATCTAGCTTCATGTGAAATACTCAATTTACAAATGACATTTACAAATCCTGCCTTATTTTACTCTTTTTTTGTAGGCAGGATAGCTTAAGGTATATAAAAACTAACTTATAATTCGGCAACTATAAACGTGTCAGTTGATGGTATAATTATTAACAAACCAGTTCCTTTCTAGTAAAGTCTTAATAAAAACATTCTAACTACTCTGAAATTTAGTAGAAGAATGATGTTAAGTATGATACTGAATACCTAAAGTAGCTAGTTTCTAAGTATCTAAAATATAAAATAATTTCCTTAAGAGTAGATTCACTCATAAGGCAGTACTGACTTGAAAAAATAAATATGTTTAAGCTGCCCTTCAGACTGTAATACAAGAGAGATTACTACCAATGCCTGCAATAGACCATTCACATTTACAACTGAGCACCTATGATGCATGAGCGAAAGACTGGGAACAGGAGAAGTAGGACAAGATTCTTTCCCTCAAAAGAGCTAATAACATAGCAGGTAGAGACATAAGCAAATGTGGAATGTGTCTAGCACCATCATGGAGACTGAAATGAAGAATCATACTAATAGAAGTAAAGCCCCAAAGGACTGAGAGGATTATCAAGTATAGAAAGAACTTCCTGGATGTTCTTGGAAGTGGTGGCAGCGTAAGACAAGAGGCAGCAGTTAAACTTGGCCCAGATTTTCTGGCATATTTGACTAGAAAAAAAGGCTGTACCACTAACCAAAATTGCTCCAGAAGAAGAAAGGTGATCAATACAATAAACCCTTCATCTAGGTTGAAATGTCAAGTAGGCAGTTTAAAAAAAGTACAAATCTAGAATTTTGGACCAGATATGTAATAGTAGCACATTGGGATAAAATAGAAACCCTAGAATGAGATCCCTACAGAAGATCAACAAGCATTCTGAGGACAGGACCTTAGAAAGCACGTTTAGTAGACACATTTTACATAAAAGTTATGTGACTGTACTCACAGTTATGGTAGAGGATAGCATCTTCAAGGGAGAACACAATGTCTATGAAAGGTTGCTCAAGGGTGAAACTGTCGCAGAGACAGGGTAAGGGATGTAGACTGAGAAAAAAACCATTTAGTTCGGTAACTGAGAGCCCACTGTTGACTTTGAAAAGAACATTTTCATTAGAGTGCTGTGTAAAACCAGATTGCAAGGTGCTGAGCAGTAAGTGATGATGATGTGGGGACACTGGATGTGGTTTCTCTGGCAGTGAAGAAGGCTGGAGAAAGTAGCCGGTCAGAGGAGGTTTTTTGCATTGGAGGATATATGAGCATGTTTGTAGATCATGAAAAGGAACCAGCATACAGTTCTTTGCATAATTTTGTACTGATCACAAGCCTAAAAAATTATTTTTAATCTTTTAAAAAGCATTTTCTGAAATAAAAATACACAAAATTAAATTATATGCATTTTACCATTTAAGCTTAATACAAACTTAAAAACACTAGCGTTTCATGATAAATTTTATTTCTAAAGGAGTCATACAGTTTTCGTTATTGGACTACTTCAGAATTTATTTTGCTTCTAGTCTATCATGAGAAATTAAATTTTATTAACAATTGCTAATTACTCTGATATAAAGAATTACACTAAAGAAATTATATATGACTTTTTCCTCAACCCTCCTCTCCTAAAGACAAAATATCTTCAGGGTAGTTAATAATTTTGATAATATTTTTCAAGTTGAAGAAGAAAAAAATTAGAAATAGTATTCCATTATGAATAAGTTCTTAAAGATCTAAATTGTTCTTCACAATTATTTTTTATGATAAAACATGCTTATTTATTATATACACATGCTTACATATGAATTTCCTGGCTAAAATACATGCAACCACGGAAAAACAATATTAAACAATCCTCACAATACTAAGAATGCCCTTTTAAATAAGGCACTCATGTTTGAAAACAGGATGTAACTACCAAATTAAATAAGATGTTTAAAGAAGCCTTTTATTAAGCACAAACAACTTTTAATACATTATCAATACAAATAGGAAAATGTCTTTTAATGAATATGATATATCAAAGATCTGAAGGCTTTTCTTCATAAGGACACAATAAAAATAATCAATTTTGAGGAATTACAAAGTAAAATTTTGAGGACACTAATGTATACTAATAACAGTTTAACTACAGTTTAAATTTACTAAATCACCTGGGAAGGGCAACCATTTTTTGATACAGAGAACTCCTACTCTTATTAGCACCATTCAAAGCTTGTATCAGTTGTTTAATCTACAAACTGACAGGTCAGGTAAAGCTTTAAAGCAAGTTTTCAGTGCACTGTTTATAGTTCTTCTTTTAAGATACTGGGAGTCTATGGTCTTGAAGCATGTTAGGTAATTATGCCTTGGTAATTGCAAGGTGTTAACATGTAGAAAAAAATGTGTCATGAAAAGAAATGAGACTTATTTTGTCTGTGAAACGCAATTGAACGTGTTGTAGCTAATGCTGTGGTATGCTGACGACATGCGGGGTTAGGAATTGCAGGTCTGCGAGAAGGTGGTAGCTTTTAGCTCTCTGTGGTCACCATTTCAGGGTGTCTCAGCTGCTGCCTTTTGAGACTAACTAGTTTCATCCTGTCTCTGATGTGTTCTGCAGTAGAAGCCATGTCACTTGGACTCCCAAAATATTGTTCAGTTCTAAAATCAAAACACACAGAAAAACCCCAGATTAATACAAATCCAATATTGCAGCAAAGGCAAGTGGAAGCAAAAATTACCATAAAAAAGTATCTATATAACATAGCCCTGGTGTAAAAATTAGTCCATTTGCAGACCACACTGTTTGTCTCTGAGTAGTAATTCAGTAAGAAAAAAACATTTATTTATTTATTTATTTTTTGAGTTGGAGTCTCACTCTGTTGCCCAGACTGGAGTGCAGTGGCCGCTCCCGGTCATTGCAGCCTCGAACTGCTGGGCTCCGGTGATCCTTCCGCCTCAGCCTTCCAAGTAGCTGAAACTACAGGCGCGCGCTACCATGCCCGGCTAATTTTTGATTTATTGTAGAGATGAAGTCTCGCCAAGTTGCCCAGGCAGGTCTCGAACCCGTGGGCTCAGGCAATCCACTCACCTCAGCCTCCCAAAGCGCGGGATTACAGGCTGAGTCACTGAACCCGGCTGAAAAACATTTTTTAAAGTGGCATAAAATATATTAAGACACAACAAGAAAAATCAGAGATAAAGGTCATAATATGTGTACTTAATGATAATCTCAATAAATCAAACAATGCAACATTAGAGATATTTTGCTTTTCAGTTTTGGGTCCAAAAACACAGACAAACATAAAATTTGTACATGTACTTGAGTGCTAAAGGCTAGGAGGTATACCAATTGTCTGGTGCAGCTGGCAAATAAAATATATACTCTTTCAAAAGTGAAGACATTGTCACATGGATAGATAAAATCATTTGATTTTATTCTACATTCAAAGATACTGTTATCCAGAGTCATAGCATCTTTTAGAACTGGAAGAGTTTTGGGGAATTATTTGGTTAACCTCTTCATTTTTATTTTTTTTTGAGTTGGAGTCTCACTCGGTCACCCAGACTGGAGTGCAGTGGCTGCTCCCAGCTACCGCAGCCTCGACCTGCTGGGTTCAGGCGATCCTGCCGCCTCAGCCTTCTGAGTAGCCGGAATTCCAGGCATGCGTTACCACGCCTGGCTGATTTTTTGATTTATTGTAGAGATGAGGTCTCGCCAAGTTGCCCAGGCGGGTCGCGAACCTGTGGGCTCAGGCAATCCACTCACCTCAGCCTCCCAAAGGCGCAGGTTTACAGGCTGAGCCACCGAGCCCCACCATTTTTTTTTTTTAAGCAGAAAACTAAGATCTAGAAAGTTAGACTCAAGCAAGGTCACACAATGGAAAAAACACAATGTGAACCTATACCTTCAAGCGATGATTCCAGATAAACTACCAATTTCTTTTATTTTACCAGGAAAAAAGTATATAAAAAAATTGGTATGACCAAACTTTACATAACATAAACAGATGATTATTATATGCATAATTATGACAAACATTATACACATACAGCTTTGAGAAATATTTAATTTAGCAAAGTACCTAAAACAGATACACATACAATTTAATATGAATGTAGACTAGAATAAAATAACAATTCCAAATAGTAAAAGTGGGTGTTTGTGAAATTTGAATACACAGTACTAACTTAGTCTTTTATCCTAAAAGGATGAGGAAATGACACATGGACTGACTACCTGGGGAACACAAGAGGAGAATCCCAAGCAAAAATAACAAGGACAGGTAATCCTAGCTGACGGGAGTGGAATGGGAGACCGGCGGTGTGGCAACTGGCTGTGAAGCCATAGGAATGAAGGTGGAAAGGTAAAATCCCGGACTCTAGTAAATTTACTAGCTGAATGTTGCTCTCTTTATTGCAGACGTAGAATTTGAATTTAGGCTAGTTCTGATTGTACAACTTTAGGTGTGACTTGAGACTCTAAGAATAAGCTATGAATAATGTTCTTTCAAGGGAATAAAATGTTGTTTTTTCAATATCAATCCCAATTGGAAGTTCAGGACACAGTAGTACTAGTGCTTATTATGTGTCTGATCTGTTTTGAGTACTTTGCTTCCATTTAGCTCTGGCAATTCCCTCACCCCTGTAACCTGAGGAGGCATAAGTATCACCTCCCTGTTTTTAGGTGAGGGAACTGGGCATAGAGAACTTAAACAACTTTCCCAAGCTGTCACAGCTAGTAAGTGATGGAGTTGAGATATCTTACCCATGACACTACCACATTGTAAGGATACTTGTATTTTTATTCAGTGGCTTAGCTTCTTTATCATTTCATTAAGTATCCTTTGGATTATTTTCACTGAGAAAGTATAGATTGCCAAGAACTAAGCTCACTCTGATTCTTATTCTGTTCCATTTATTTTACTCAGATTATTTCAGATTTTTATCATGGACTATTTGAAATGGAAAGGAGTAAGAATATCAGAACCCGCACCCCGCCAACTCCTTTTTTTTTTTTTTACACACGAAGAAATTAGGAGGCCAGATAGCAAAGTGAAAAGAGAATGGGTTTGGAGCCAGACAGACACTTAGGGTGCCTTTCCTGAGTGCCTTTCTTTATCTTTCTAAGCCTCAGTTTCTTCATTTCTTAAATTGGGAGCAATCATACTTGCCTGGTCCTGTTTGGCCAAAAGTAACGAAGGTGAAGTATTTAACCCAGTACTTGACATATATTATGAGCTCACTAAACATCAGTCCCCTCCCCCTCCCTGTCTGAATGAAGGCCCAAGTCACACTACTTCCTATCATCATAGCCAAGGCTAGAACCCAGTGTTTCAATCAAGTGAACGGTCATTCTACAACAACCTGACAAGAAGCAACACATGGATGTCAGCAAGTACCAACTTACGAGTTATTCTTTTCATTTTAAACCAATTTATTGTAGGAATTAAAGATGAAGTCCAAAGTTAATTTACTTAGCTTTTTAAAGAATAGATTTCCTCTCTTAATGATTTCACTTTAAGACCACATTGATAAAAAGATAAAATTATAAGAACATGCACCATACCCATCAGGATAAACTACAGGAACAGTTAATCTATCCAAAAGTGATTTCCCAACTGCCTCAATTTCATCAAATTGCTCCTCATCATTAATAGCTTCAGGCTCTTCTGGACAGTCTTGCAAAATCTGCAACAAATAAAAGGGCAACATCCATCAAGAGACAAAGAAAGGGAATCAAACTCGTGCGAATTTAGTAGATTGAAGGCGATTTGTTTGTTCTTAGCATCTTCATGTATACCGTTGTACAAGATTGATCTATTATGGGCAAAGTTGGTTTAGAAATTCAAACAACAGAATGAAATACAAAATCCTTACTAACAATATCAAATTAGAGTATGACAAAGTGTATGGGATTTTCCAAGAAGAAAATAATACTAAATTACTATTTGGAAACTAAGTTTTTAAGAAATATGCTTAAGAAGTGTTCTCTCATTCATCAAGCAAACATTGAACAATTTATGCTTATTTAGCAGCCTGGAATGTGAAGGAGGTACAGACTCTGTCCTTAAGGAGTTTATAGACATCAAAGATGAAAGAAAATACAAATAAAATACAACAGATACTTAGAGTGCAAACATAACTGCCATGAAGACCTAGCTAGACACTATTTTTAACAACTAATCTGCTGACTTGAGTTACTGGTGTAAAATGATCAGTTTATAATCAAATGTTGGAAGCTCTACAGCCTTTGATGAGATACTATTCTTTTTTCCCCTCTTAACTACTACCATTTAAATTTAACTACAAGAAAGAATTGCAAAATTTGGGAAAGGGAGAAGAAAAAGAAGTATTCATTTTTGCAGCTTTTTTTTGCATTACACTTTCCTTAATCCACATATTTATGTCAGCATCATTCATGAATGAACATTTTTTATATTTTAAAACTCAAGATTTAAGTAAGATATTTTCCCTATCATTACACGATACAATTTGCTTGTATCTGTGGTTATAATTATGCTTACAGGTATAAAACAGAACACAGTCAAGAGGAAAACAGTATCTGATAACAAAGGGTTTTACATAGGTTTGCACAGTAAAATAATCTTAAATTAATTTTAAGAAAGATAAGGGCTAGGTAGCAGAAAAAATAAAAACATTAGCTTTCTACTCAAAAACTCTCAACCATATTTATTCTTACATGATCTCTTCAAGAGTACTGAATTTTAAAATATTCTTGCAGATACATTTTAAAAATAGTATCCTAAAAAGTTACCAGCAGTGCTAGAAATCAGACCAATGGTCATCCTTCAATTATGGGGGAGGGCAGTATTGTGACCACAGGAGGGTGGGGGGAACTTCTGGGTACTAGTCATGTTTTGTTGTTTGAACAGGACACTGATTACACTGACGTGTTCACTCTGAAATTTCACTGAGTAGAAAACTACTGGTCCATATACTTTTCTACGTTAATAGTATACTTCATAATAAAAAAAATTTTACTGAAACAATAAGTAGACAAACAAGTTATGCCATTTTGTATACTTCCATTCACCATTATTAGGCTCATTTTAGCCAAACTCTGTAGAGTTCAGTGACCAACTGAGAAAGAGTTGACTATGGACACTTCCCAATAGATGTACTTCATAACACAGTAGAAACTGCTTTATTCTTGAGGGTCCTTGCAACATCTATTCTGTTCTGCAGGCCAGGCTATCACACTTACAACTGAAAAATATTAAAGTATACTGAGCATTTCCTACATATAAGCTTCCCTTGTAAGAGATCAAAACAAAGTTAACTACATATAAAGTTTCTCTTCAGAATGGAAATGTAAGGCTTGGATGATATAATTTTTTACTGTGACGAGTAAGAAAAAGGTTCTGTAGAAAACTTGCCCAAATAACACTGCGTATTTCATTTCTGGTTTCTGGATTTAATGACCTGACTTCATTGAATAATAAATTCTAGAAGGAATCTTTAAAGATAACACATTAAAAAGGTTTTACTTTTAATCCTTGTTCTCATTTTTTCAAAGGTTTGTGCTTTAAATAATAAAATCCCAAGGTGCCTTTTAAAACATTTGTGACAATTAGTAGTTGTTGTCAAAGCAAAGTTTCCTTTCCTGGCATAATGAAAGAGACTAAAGTCATGACACTCCAAAGAACAGATAGCCCATTTTGGATACCAGGCTTGGCAAAGAGAGAAGCAGCGGTGGTTTTGGATTTCTCCAGCCACAGCACTCCAGCACTAGGACGGATTAAGGAAATTTAATTTGAACTCTCTAAGACAATATATTATATGATAGCTAAGCAAACTCTCACTATGGAACTAACCTAAGTATTGAACAACAGATGAGTCCCATAATTACATTAAAATTAATATATTTTAAACATATACAATGAATACCATTGAGATTTCACAAAATAAAAAAAAAAAAGCAAACCTTTTCGGCATTTGAGTGAAATGCAATAGCCATTTCCAACCTATGTACTCTCTCTTCAGATGCTATTGTAAATTGTTTCCATACTCTGTTGAGTCGAGGAAGTGTATCCCCAGAGGATCGAGAGGTGCAGCGCAAAGACTGGCACAACACCACTGTGGCCTGTAGCAACTGCCTACCATAGTCATAAGTGCTCTAAAAAAGAAAAGGTAAACATAAAATTATAATAAAGAATTCTAAAGAGAAGGATGGTGAAGGCATGCAGGAGGACTTGATTGTAATTAAGTGACACTACTAGATAGACATCAATACTGAAGAAATCTGGTGGCACTCACTACAAATTATCTGCATGCATAAATAATAAAGGGGGAACAATATTTTCAGTTCATTTATAGGAAGTTTCTTTCTTGTTAGGCTTCCCCTCTTATTCTGTTTTCCCTATCTTGGTCTACTAAATTTCACTGGTCAAAAAGAATGCCTGCTCACTAATTAATCAAAACAAGTGAGTGAAATCATGCAGTTTATATTCCATATAGGAAAATACAACTGTTACAATGTGGACTCAAATATTAAGAAAAATAAATTAAAATACTTTTCATCACACACAGAAAATTCTGTATTATTATGTAATACTTGTGAGATGCAGGAAGTGGGGTTTCTAATGAACTGATATTAACATGTAGTATTTCACATTAACTTCTGTGAATGGACAGGTGGATTACCTAAAAAAATGCCATAATACACATATAACACAAATCAGAAGGAGCATACAGACCCTGTATTTGGGGGGACATAAGCCCTCTCAAGTTTATGCAGGCTAGTTTTGATGCACCAGCTGACATTTTCTTAATTCTGTGGTATTTTTGGAATAACAAAACTAACCTTCTTGGACTTGGAGGGTAAAATTACATTATAATCATGCAGAATGCTATTCAAACACTGAGCCTGTAGAAAAGGAAGATAACCAGTTCTGCACCTGTGCAACATCAACAAATTTTCTATGCTTTTCCAGCAAAACTTTCGTTTCTTGAGCATCATCGCCCAATCTGATGTGGGTCTTAAGCAGAGCATCCAGAAGTTCACTTAGCCACTCTACTGCCTAAATGAAAATACATAACAGTGAGGGCACATTCCGAACTATTTACTTATTATATCAAAGCATCATGTTTATAGAATGGTTACTATCATGTGATTAATTAATCCATTAATTATAACTAAATTCTTAAAAGCATATTTCATTCAAAGCCAGTCTACATGAATTAATGAACTCTCTTACTCCTCAAAATGCTTTAAATCTAAAGGCAAGAACTACTAAAGAGAAGCACTCTTAAAATTAATATCATATAACAGAAAATGATGCCTTCTTATAATATAGAACTATTGGGATCACACTGCAGATTTGTGTTACTATTTAAAATCATAACTTTCTTCTAAATCTAGCTGAAATTATATTCTCTGAAGATAACTACACAAAGAAACCAATTTTTTTATCTGACATTGAAAATTCTCTTACGGACTACAAGCAATGTGCTACATCAGCCTTCATTCTGGATGTAACTGACAACCTAGCCAACAATAATAAATAATCCCAATCTCTAGCTGAATAGAGAATTTCATTAAGAAGATAAATCAAATGAAATCAGTGAGCTATCTGAGAATACCAAACTTTACTCTTCAAAAGGACAAACTAGGATCTGACTTCATATATTTACTTTTTTAGGACTATGAAAAGTACATTTTTATTTATAGTTAGATGAAATCAATCTTCTAAGAAAAGATAACTACATAATGTGGCTCACCAGTCCTTACCTGGGCAGCATCTTCTTCACATTTAAACAGCTGCACCATCTGAAGCATCTTTAACCTTCGCACATCTACCATGTCTTCACATCTAATAAACCCAAACATAAATTTAATTCATCATTTTGGCTTTGTTGATTACTATCATAACATCATAATTTGGCACACATATTTTAAAGTATACTAAAATACTTAGTCCTACATTATGAAGACTGCAACTATTTTGTATTGATTTATAAGAATTTTAAGGACATCTATATCTATGTTACATCAAAACCTCAAAATACCTGAATGATACTGAATGACAAACCCTCTTGAGGATAGCATGAATTCTGCAAAATATTGAAGCAAAGCATAAATTCAATAGTACACTAAAGTCCAAAGAAATCTCCATTGCCAATTGGCATTAAACAAGTTTCAAAGATAAAAATGTAAAGTTCCTCAAATACTAATTTAAAGGATGATATTCCAAGGAAATGTTAAAAAATTAATACTTTTTGGCCAGGTGCACTGGATCATGACTGTAATCCCTACACTTTGGGAGACCAAGATGGAGTATCACTGGAGCCCAGGAGTTCAAGACCAGCTTAGGCAACTTAGAGAAACCTCGTCTCTACAAAAAAAAAAAAAAAGTGAGACAGGTGTGGTGGTGCTTGCCCAGCTAATTTATTTTTAAATGTTTTTGTATAGATGGTGTCTTGCTATGGTGCCCAGGTTGCTCTTGAGCTCCTGGCCTCAAGTGATCCTCCCACCCTGGCCTCTCAAAGTGTTGAGATTATATGAGAACAATGGATGTGTCACATTTTGTAAGTTTAGATGAAGAAATAGATCAATGTAGACGACTAATTTAATAGCAACTCTAAATTAAAAGAAAATTCTCCTAAAAGGCTTTCTTAAAGGACAGCAGAGTTATAGGCTACACTGTGGGGATGGAATGTGAAATACTTAAATATAACTGAAATTTTGACTACTAAGGAATAATGGAAAAGGTATCTATTCAGTGAACAAATTGTCAATATTTGTTAGTACAGTTATATGCAATAAGTATTAGTCACCAAAAAATGACAAGTCTACTATGTAACAGGCAAGAACTTTTAGTTTGTATGTAAAATATAAATTATAGCACTTTTCATTTTAATTAAAATTATGCTATCTTGGTAAAAATGAATAGCAACAGTCAAACTTTGCCTTTGTTTCCTAAGTTGCATATCTTCCATCACTCCTTGTATGTGGTCCACATTTTCTTTATTTTCAATGGTTACATCCTTTCCATAGGCCCAGGATGCCTGGTTGGAGATCTGATCCAGGAGACCTTGACCTTTTTCACGCAAACCTTGCAATCCCACATCTAAAACAAAAGTTACTAAATGTTTAATCTCTTAAACATTTAAGGTGCTCTCCCTCCCTCTAAAAAAAGCCTCTCAGTAAATATTGTACTTGGATCCCAAGGTAACAGTTTTGTATGTTAAACCATCTTGGGATAAAATCCTATGAACATTTCAAGCAATAAAACCCCTTTAAATGTGACTCAAACTGGAGTTATCTCTCACATCAAATTCTTCTTAAAGGAAATTTCCAAAACACAGATTTCCAAAGCTACTTTTATAAGATGAAAGCAGGAAAAAAAAGCATGAGAATTTCTATTTTGATAAATACAATTTTTCTATTTTTCTCTTTCTGCTTTTAAGTAGTCTAATCTTTAGGATAATAAAGCATATATTTTGTTTAAAAAATGTGTAAGATTTGCAAGACTTCAAAACACTCCAGCAACATATTATCAACATCAAAGGATGGTGAACATTGTAAAAACAGGTACATTCTAGCTTCTATACCACAGGAAGCAACAGTTAGAGTATGTTTGCAATACTCTAACTTAGATGTATAAGGAAATATTTTCTCTTTTTTAAGGGGAAGTATGGCTCAAATAAACTTCTAACATTTAAAAATAAATTATACCTCTGTTCAAATGACAAAGGCTGCAAGCCAGTGAAATGACAGTAAAGCATGATTTTTCAAACCAATTCCCTCAAGTCAATTTCAATCATTATTTGCTTTAGTCATATGTTTTCACTCTCTACCACTTCTCTGCCTTAAATTCTTGCTTCCTCTCTTTCATTTCCATTCCCTTCCTGTCTCCCTCTATATGCTCCCCACTTCCCGTTTTCATATCCTGACCTTTTAGGAAAGTTCACTGCATTTACTACAGGAAAAAAAAAAAAAATTAAAGGCCTTGGTGTTGAATGACAGAACTAGCTTACTGTAACTGGACCTTTCTTCCCTTGGAGAGAATGTAACCTGGCAATATTCCCAGTTTGGAGAAACAAATGCACAGAACCAAACCAACTAATTTTTCACAAGGTTAGGATATAGCAACAACAAAAATAATAGCATAAAACACAGTTTTGGGCATACAAGGTTTACCACAGAACACTTCACAGCTAATTACAATTTATGCATGCACTACAAATACCTGTTCATAGTCTATGCAAGACATAGCACCTGTAGATATAGCTGGGTAAAAAGGAAAGGGCAAAGACCCATGAAGGGAGGAGTTACTTAACCAACAAGGAAAAAAGTTTCAGCGTAAGTCATGTTCCCCTCAAAAAAATAAAACCTTTCTTATACTATTTTTTCCTTGGGTTTCCTATAAATAATTATAATTAGTTCAGTGTTAAGTTGACTTAATTATCTAACCATGGTAATGATATTTTAAAAAAATCTTATGTTTCAGCATTTTTAAAATCTGCTTACCAACACTTTTCAGCTTCTCTTCAAGCAGTTTTAAAGTTTGCTGAATCGATGCTCCATCAGCTGGCGCTACATCTACGCACAACATCCCTAATAAGCCATCCAACTGCTGAGACAACTAAAGCAGAGGGACACCAAAGAGATAACCCTGATGTAATCAGCATCTAAAGTGCTTAATGATTAATGAAGTTTATATCTAATGAGGTCATCACAGTTACAATTGAAAAGACTACGCTGTTACAAGAGAAGGACGAATAATTAGAATCATGTGATCAGGAAGATAGAACACACAGATACATGCAAGAAGACAAGGAAGTACATTCTGGTGAACAGAAGGCAAAAATTGACACTTCCATTTCCATCTATGTTATAAAGCATAAACACTGAGAAGCAGCCAAAATAAAATGTATCTATTATTTTGGAACACAAGTTAAACAATAAAAGGTTTAATTGCATGCATAATTACTTACAAATAAAATTTGCTTAAAAAAATCAAATAATCTTATCTCATTATTCCCACCAGCAAATTATTTTATTGTTCCAGAAAAATACTTAGAGCATGCAAACCTGCAGAAATTATGTGTAGATATGCACTCAAATAATTTGAAAAAAAGCAAGGCAGTAAGAGTAGACACTTACATCTTGGGCAACACCATGAAATTCAAGAGCTGCTTGTAAGAGATTCTGCCTAAATTCCAGCTGACTGGCCTGTCGATAACAAACATCACTAAGTTGTTGCTGCAATGACTTCAGTTCCACCAGATCTTCCTCATCGCCAGCATTCAGGAGTGCTGCAATTTGCTGATTAAGCTCTACATACACTGCAAACCATTCCTGTAATCAAGATGTTGCAAAGTACATTAAGGATCAAATTAGTTCCTGGAGGACGTTATATTTTATAATTTCTCTAGATTAAGTAATACATGAACATTTTTTCTAAAGCAAATTATTATGATTATGATTATGATTATTTTTTTTGAGTTGGAGTCTCACTCTGTCACCCAGACTGGACTGCAATGGCATACCCCCAGCCACTGCAGCCTCAACCTGCTGGGATTCGGCAATCCTTCCGCCTCAGCCTTCCAAGTAGCTGGAACTACAGGCGCATGCTACCATGCCTGGCAAATTTTTGACATATTGTAGAGATGAGGTCTCATCAAGTTGCCCAGGCGGGTCTCGAACCCGTGGGCTGAGGCAATCCACTCACCTCGGCCTCCCAAAGCACTGGGATTATAGGCTGAGCCACTGAGCCTGGCCTCTAAAGTAAATTATTTATTACTGAGGGTGAAACATTCCCAACCCTGAAATTCTTGATCCCTGGAACTCAACCACTTGCTGCCAATAGCAAAATCTCCTGTACCCTCATTGTGGTCTCCTCTACTTGTTCCTGTCTCTTGCTTGCTCTGAGAAAACCTGCTCACCCACAGAGAAGATATTTACCCCTGCAGTCCTCTAGAATGAAGATTGTTACTGTTTCCACATTGCAAGCCCGAAGGTGAACTGCCTCATTCCTCATTACTACTCTAGACAATTTCTTCTCCCTCTTTTCTCTAAAACCACATCTCCTTTGAAGTGCATGCTATTGGATTCCCACCTTCCAGCTTTCCCTGCTACATCCCTTCCTCCACAGAGGGGTTTAGTCAAAGTCAAAGGCTATAACCACTTCCTAGCATACAATCTACGCCCTTCTTTCCTTCCTTCCATCAGACTCACTTGTCAACACCTCAAACCTGGTTTCTCTGCCTAAAGTGTTGTTGGTACTAGAGTAGCTGAACAGGGATAGACATAAACAACTATGTGGACAGGTCTCTCTTTAAAAAAAAAAAACTTTTAAATTTTTTTATTTTACAATTGTGGGGTACAATTCAGGGTTAGGTATACAAATATTCATTGTGCAGGTACCCTTGTTGATGAGGATGAGGTGTGCCCCCCCCCTGCTTTCCCAGGCAGATTTCCACTACCGTCAATACCACCTCCCCGCTCCCCCATCCCCCTGCAGTTTCCCACTACTGCCAATCCTTTTCTTATAGTATTACGATAGTTCAAGGTCCACTTATGAATGAATAGGTCTCTTTTTAAATTTATTACTAAGGACAGGCTCGGTGGCTCATGTCTATAATCCTGGCACTTGGGAGGCTGAGGTGAGAGGATTGCCTGAGCTCACAGGTTCAAGACCAGCCTGGGTAACATGGTGAGACCTCATCTTTACCAAAAAAAAAAAAAATTAGCCAGGCATGGTGGCATATGCCTGTAGTTCCAGCTACTTGGAAGGCTGAGGCGGAAGGATCACCTGAGCCCAGCAGGATGAGGGTGCGGTGGCCAACAGCATGTCCACTGCACTCCAGCCTGGGTGACAGAGTAAGACTCCAACTAAAAAGCAAATAAATAAATAAAAATAAATAAAGTTATGACTAAATCTCAAATGGATCTTTGATAACCCTTTCGTGTTTTTCCAGTCAACTCACTTCCTCATTCTCATAATTAGTTATGTTCTTTTTTTTCCACTCTAAATCTTCAACTCCCTTTTCACTTCTCTCTCAAAGATCTTACTTCTAAATTCACTGGGAAGCAATCAGAAGAGAACTCTCTCATCTTCCCACCAACAAAGCAAACCTACAACCCTCCCTTCTCCTATAGCCCAGATCTGAACTCACTACTGAACTAGCAAGTGGCCTGTCCTGTATTTTCAAGGCAAGTGCTCCATCGAGGCAGTATAACCTATCTTCTGTTGCCTACATAAAGCTCTGCTCTTCCAACTATCCTTGCTCTCTCCTATCAATTCTTCTTTCTCAATTGAATTAGTTCCACCAGTAATAAGTAAGCTATTAATGTCTGATATTAAACAATAAAATATACACTTAAGAACTGCACGTTTTACTATGTAAAAATTAAGCCTCAATTAAAAAAAAAATCTCTCTCTTTTTTTTTTTTTGATGAGTCGGAGTCTCACTCTGTCCTCCAGGCTGGAGTGCAGTGGCCTGCTCATGGCCGCTGCAGCCTTGACCTGCTGGGCTCAGGCGATCCTTCCACCTCAGCCTTTCAAGTAGCTGGAACTACAGGCTGTGCCACCATGTCCGGCTAATTTTTTTGATTCATTGTGGAGATGAAATCTTGCCAAGTTGCCCAGGTTGGTCTTGAATCCACGGGCTCAGGCAAACCTCTTACCTCAGCCTTCCAAAGTGCTGGGATTATAGGCATGAGCCACCGTGCCCGGTCAAGAAAAAAAACTTCTCTTAAAGAAGTTATCTGTACTCGTTTCTCATTTCCTATTTTCTTTTACATATATCTAATTTTTTAAAAAAATAGAAACTGAATCTTGCTATGTTGCTCAGGCTAGTCTCAAACTCCAGGCCTCGGGTGACCTTCCCTCTTCAGCCTCCCAAAGCCCTAGGATTACAGGTGTGAGCCAAAGTGCTCAGCCTCCCATTCTCTTTTTAATCTGCTCTAATCAGGAATTCTGAAAACAATTTGGTCAAGTTCACCAAAAAAATTTCACCTTGCCAAATCCAGTGGTCAATTCTCAGTCTTCATCTTATTGAAGCTCTCAGCTGCATTTGGTAAGTGCTTCCTCCTCCTTGAAATGCCCCCTTGTCTCATTCTCTGAGATACAACAGATCCTTTTAGCTTCCTTTGCTGGTTCCCCTTCCTATTCTTGCTCTTTAAGTTTAGGTGACCCAGGGTTTTGTTTTCCTGAGGCTCCCTTTTCTTCCCACTAGGCTTGGATGCCTTCCTCTAGCTAGTTCCATGACTTTACATTACATCTAATAGGCTAATTTACTAAATGAACACCCTCAGCCTTGACTTCTCCCCTGAACCTCCCATACTGATACCCAACTGCCCATGAGTCACCTTCACTTGGATTACTACCTGATGTCTAAAATTCAAACTGCCCCCAAGACACTGATTCTCCATCCTCCCAACAGGCTTCTCTCCCAGTCTTCCCCATCTTAATAGCTGCTAAGGCCAAAAGCCTCAAAGTCTAGCTGGCTCAACCTCGTGAACTTCGGTCCATTCTCATGACTCCTACCGCCTCTATCAGCCTCCTGCCTTTTCACTGTTTGTCCCTCCTCCCTCTTTTCCACACAATAGCCACTGATCTGCTTAAAACAAATTAATTCTCTGCTCAAAAGCCTCTCTCTCCAACAACTTCACGTAACATTTAAAATTAACTTCAATCACCTTTTCATGGGCTAAAAAGACATGGCATGTTTTCGACCCTGATTCCCTCTCAAACTTTATTTTCTGTGACTCTACCATGTTCTCTGCACTCCAGCTGCACCAACATTCTTGCCATTCCTCAATCATTGTTCCTCCTGCTGTGTCCTCCATCTGAACTGCCCTTGACTTGGATTACTCTCTCACATTTCCAGGTTTCTGATTAAATGCCACCTTCTCAGAGAGGTCTTTCCTGGAAATCATACCTATATTGCTTTCCATTTTGTATCTCCCCACTTGAATGTAAATTCCATATGGTAAGACAGTGCTCCATTACAAGAGCCTGGAGCAACATGTGACACATAGTATGTGCTCAACTGAAAAGTACTGAATGAACGCATAAATCATATTAGACATTGTGGATTCACTGACATCATATTAAGTAGGTAGCGGAGGGTGATTCTGTCACTCAGGGAACATTTGGCAATGTCTAGAGACATTTTTGGTTATCATAATGGAGGAGGAAGGATGTTATTGCATCTAGTAAGTAGAGGTCAACCATGATGCTAAATACTCTACCATGCATAGGACAGTCCCTACACCCTATAACACAAATTCATCTGGCCAAAGAGTCAATAGTGCTTGCAGGTTGAGAGATCCTGCTCTATTCTATGGTGATGATAGTATCTGTCTTACCTGCTTTATTGGCTATTATATAGATTTAATTACACAATATGTGTAAAATATTTTTAAAATGACATAGTTATTTTAATGATTAACAAAGATTAACTTTGAGCCTGTGGGTTTGAGACCTGCCTGGCCCTCTTGGTGAGACCTCATCTCTACAATAAATCAAAAAATTAGTCGGGCGTGGTAGCGCGCGTCTGTAGTTCCAGATACTTGGAAGGCTGAGGCGGAAGGATCGCCGGAGCCCAGCAGGTCGAGGCTGTGGTGGCCGGAAGCTGTCATTGCACTCCAGTCTGGGTGACAGAGTGAGACTCCAACTCAAAAAAAAAAAAAACCTGAGAAAATCATCATTGCCGTATTCTAAAATACTGTCTTACTTATAACATTTACATATTATTAAAGCTTAAAATAAATAGGCCGAATTCTCTGAAGATGTAATAGGCTTGATTATGAGAAAATTAGTAAACCAAAGGATTAGAGTCCTAGGATAGCACTTCTCAGTGAGAACTACCCGCATCAGACTTGGGGTGCTTATTACAAGTGCCTAGGTTTTACCCCTGACCTGCTAAATCAGAGTGTCTGGGAGCAAGACCCTGAAATATGCATTTTAACAAGAGCCTCTGATGACTCATGCCCACAAAGGTTTAAGAACCATCATTGTGGAGCGGATGTTTTTCTGGTTTGAATTAGTAAAACATAGGCTCCAGCAACCTGACCAAGAATGGAAATACAATGTAAGGACTACTATGGCTCAAAAAATTAACACCTGAAATTAGAGGCACTGATATTACAGATTGAAGTTGCCATAAAGAAATAGTCTCTCTGGGATGGACGAGAGGGAAAAAAATCTGGTAATACGCGTACACACACACACACACACACACGTGTACATTTAAAATTAATCAAAATGTTTCTTCCAAGAAAACAGAAGAACATAGAATACAGAGAACCTTGGTGAAGAGGCTGCATTCAGCTCAATTATGGTCATTCTCTAGTTTGTCTATTTAACTGTATGGAAAATGATTATCTTATAGCAAACTAAAAAATCAGCACAAAGATTCAGGATTTAAGTTAAGATGATAAGTAAGAAATGAGCTGGAAGGTTCACATTTAGGACAGAAGCAGTCGAGATTGACACTACAGTCTTACGTGAATTGGTGGTGATGCACACTTGTTGAAAGGATGAGTATTTACATTTCATACTATGAAAATAAGAATCCCTAGCTAGGAGGAAAGAAACACTGCCAACCACTTAATTATACTTCAAATGCATATTAGGCAAAAACAGAGCTGGGTGTGGTGATTCATGGCTGTAATTCTAGCACTTTAGGAGGCCGAGGTGGGAGGACTGCTTGAGCCCAGGAGTTAAGAATCCAGCCTGGGCAACACAGTGCGATCCTGTTGCTATTTTAAATATATATATAATTTATATATATATATAATTTTTTAAAAAAAGAATTATATTGGAAAGAAATGGGTGTGATTTGTCAATGGAGTCCTGTTCTGCTGCTTACCATGAGACACAAGACACCAGTAAGCAATCTCTTTGGAGACTAGAAGTCAGCCTGCAGGATAGTGGGATACTGATAAAATACTCCTATCATGTGCTTTTCCTGCCACACACTTCCCTCCACCCGAAAGATAAAATTAGATGCATTACTAAACTAAAATACGTTTACATTTATCATCAGCTACTGTAATCATTTCCATGCTTAGTATCTTTTTGTTGCGTTGTATTAAAAAACCAAATGAATTTCGAATTCACAATCCTTAACAAAGAACTACACATGAGTAGGATTTTCATTTTTTATATTTCCTCACAAATTTTGTTAGCTTTATTTTTGCAGTATGCTCTTACATGGAATCTAAAATGTAATACCTAACATTTAGACTTAATGTAAAATGGTATGTTGAAAGTTTTCCTAATATCCTTATTAGCTGTCAATACCAGAAAACTGTCATTATAATTTCTTTCTTTTTTTTTTTTTTTGAGTTGGAGTCTCACTCTGTTGCCCAGGCTGGAGGCCAGTGGCATGCTCCTGGCCACCACAGCCTCAACCCGTTGGGCTCTGGCGATCCTTCCGCCTTTCAAGTAGCTGAAACTACAAGCGCGCGCTACCACGCCCGGTTAATGTTTGATTTATTGTAGAGATGAGGTCTCGCCAAGTTGCCCAGGTGGGTCTTGAACCCACGGGTTCAGGCAATCCACTCATCTCAGCCTCCCATAGGCGCGGGATTACAGGCTGAGCCACCTGAGCCCGGCTTTTGTCATTGTAATTTCACAAGACCTAAATAACCCCAATAAATGCTTTAAACAATTGACTTTTATTTACAAATGTAAAAGGAAGCTTTTAATAAAATATTATAATACCTTAAAATAATACATTCATACAGTACCAACCAACCTATTCTCAAGGTGACAATGCAGTGCCACCTATTGGCTAAAACAGTGCAATCTTCTTGTTTAAACCATTTAGAATGGAAATTTTCTAACCTATTTAAAAAGTAGAAATAGTACAATGAACTCTCATGTACCATCCAGCTTCAATAATTATCAATGCATGGCCAATCCTGTTTCATCTATACTCCCATTCAATCTGTCCTCACCTCCCAATTTTGAAACAAATTCCAAATATCACATGATTTTTAAAAATGAAATCCATGATGTTTATTTTATATGCTCTATGTTTATTTTCTTTGGAGACCATGTCTATGAATACAGATGTCAATGTATGTGTATGTTTCTTCAAGTACTGAAAGTATATCTATAGCTCAAGCATGTCTGTGAAATTGAGTAGTTTTGCTCTGAGAGCCTGAGAGAAAGGATCCCACCTGGCTATCAAGAGGTCTGTATTTTACAAACTGAAAAAAAAAAAAAAAGAGATCTGTGTTTCAACCCTACTCCAGGTGAACCCTAGTCCACTTGCTGATCAAAATATCTCCCAATTTCTTCATTTATAAAACAACGGAGGGATAGAACAATTATCAAGAGGTCTGTATTTTACAAACTGAAAAAAAAAAAAAGAAATCTGTGTTTCAACCCTACTCCAGGTGAACCCTAGTCCACTTGCTGATCAAAATATCTCCCAATTTCTTCATTTATAAAACAACAGGGGGATAGAACAATCTGTAAGATCTTTTCCAATTCAAAAGTTCTGCATATTGATTCCACATTGTAAGTTTAAGCGCATTGAAGGGCCATCCAGAACTTTCATGTTTCTTTATGCAGAGTTAAAAACCTTATAAATATATTAAAAATACAAAACAGCTAAACACAGAAATCTCTATGTATATCATTTGTAATTTCATCCACACAATAAGCAATATAAAATGTACTTTTCAATTCCCCTTTATGAACTTATATATAGTATAGTTTTTGTTTTTTTTTTAAAACAGGGTCTTGCTTTGTCATCCAAGTTGGTATGCAGTGGCTAATCATAGTTAATTGCAGCCTTCACCTCTGGGTTCAAGTAATCCTCCCACCTCAGTCTCCCAAGCAGCTAGGACTACAGGTGTGTACCATCATACCTGACAACTCTTTTTGTTTTATAATTTTTTATAGAGACAGGGTCTTGCTATGTTGCCCAAGTGGGTCTTGAACTCTTTGTCTCAAGAGATCCTTTTGCCTTGGCCTCCCAAAGCAGTGGGATTACAAGCATGAACAACCATGCCTCGCTCTCCAATTTCTAATTGCAATTATTTGTCTTGGCATCTTTTAAAAAATAATAAAATATAGATAAATCCTATCTTTAGGAACCTCATGTGCCAGGTACCCTTTTTAAAAAGAACTTTTGGGATACTTTCATAACTAAATTCTCTTAGATGAAGTCTAAAATGTTCTACTGCAAATACTGTTTTGAGGAAGTAAATAGAGGAACAAATTATAAAATCTAACTACAGTCAACATGCTCCAGAAAAATCCACTGGGTTCAAATAAATCACAACACACTTAAAAAAAAAATCAGCATTAAGTTATTTTTGCAGTACCAAGAAAATTAAAAGATTATGTTCTCAGGAAGAGGGTCTGCAATCTATTTTTTTTTTAGCATAAAAGGAAGAACTTGTGAAATGCATAAATATATACACTTTCTTTTTTTTTTTTTTGAGTTGGAGTCTCACTCTGTTGCCCAGGCTGGAGTGCAGTGGCACGCTCATGGCCACCACAGCCTCGACCTGAGCCTTCCACCTCAGCCTTCCAAGTAGCTGGGACCACAGGCATGTGCCACCACTCCTGGCTAATTTTTTAAATTTATCGTAGAGATGAAGTTTCACCAAGTTGCCCAGGCTGGTCTCAAACCTGTAGACTCAGGCAATCCTCTCACTTCGGCCTCCCAAAATGCTGGGATTATAGGCGTGAGCCACCGGGATGACCAAAATATATAAACTTTCCATTATGGGATTTCATTTTTAAGTCTCTTACAAACACTAATTAGAAAAATCACAAGGACTATATGTGTACTATCTTTATACAATTACAAATCTTGTGAGACTTCTTTCTTATATATTATTCCCTCAGCTAGATTACAACTCCTTTAGGGTATAGTATGTAGATTCTTTGCCAATACCATTGATCGCTGAACCTGATTTGGGGAATATTAGAAAAAACAACACAAGGAAACTAAACAAAATAGTAAAAGGAAAATAATTGTCAGATATCATTAAATACATCCTAGTAAAGATGAGATGTACTTGTTCATATTAACTTCCAAGAAAGCATATTATTTGTTCACTAATCTTATTTAGTTAAAACAGACATTTGCTAATACTATCCAAACTGTAATCAGACTTCAACTTGAGAAGTTGATGGGGAAACAAAAACATTGCAGAAATTAATGTTCAGATGATTCTTAATCTCATCTGGTTCCAGAGTTTAAAATTTTGATCGATTTTTTAAGATAGATCATCTAAGGAGATGGAAATTAACAGATTCAAATTTTATTTTTCCAATTTTGTATTCAAGCTATTTAAAATTACTGCATGAAGTAGTATGACCTAGGGGAGGAGAGGTATGAGCTACTTGACCCACAAACTGGATGATCACTTTCTCAATAATGACGGATTAACTGTAACATGGTAGGAGCTTACTAACAAACATTGGCTTCTTCCATAACAAGTATTAAATTTTAAATTCTCTTATTCTCTAGAATCTGCCTAAGAATCAGTTTACTTCCCAATTTCATAGCTGGGATTTGTCTGATTATCTCCTTCACAAATACAAAAGGAATCCCTTGTGCACATGGAATGGAAAAAGATTCTATACCCTATGCACTCGTTCTCCGTTAACTGTGTTTAATGCAGCAGTTCTGGTATCCCTCTCAGGCATTTATTTGTTCTGTGTACTCCTGATAATGCAGGGAGGGGCCTCCTTTAAGAACTTAAGAACAGAAATTTCTGTCATAGAGACTACAGATGAAGGTTGTTTTGCACTATCACTCTTTTCTATTACTGCAGCTTTTAAAATTTCATACGAACTGTGCTTCTATAAGAATATAATCAAACTGTATTGGAGACAAAACCAACCTTCTAATAAATATATACTAAGTGGTCAAAATGAACATTTACATTTAACAAACTGTACTTTATGCCCCTATACCAAAGTTAATTATAACTTATTACTTAGTTCCACATATGCTTCTGATTATGCACTTTCACAATAGCATTGTAACTTGCAAAAAAGCCTCTCACACTGTGCTGGCTCTCGATCTCTTCATGCTTTTGCTGCAGGGCCTGGGAAGCCCTAATGGAGTCGCCAATCCCCCACTGGGCTCTTAGTTGTTCTGATCCAGGCCCTTCAAGCCAATTCACAACCTATAAAAAAAAGTTGAGGTAAAATTTTAAACAAACAAAAGCTTTTCAAACTTTCATTCTAATTGGCTTTCCCCATCCCAAAGTTCTACAAGTATCATTTTTTTTCTTTTCTTTTTTGAGTCACAGTCTTACTCTGTTACCACAGCTTTGACCTCTTAGGCTCAGGTGATCCTTCTACCTCAGCCTGCCAAGCGGCTGGGACTACAGGCATGTGCTACCACACCTGGCTAGTTTTTTAATTTTTTGTAGAGACAGGTCTCACTATGTTGCCTAGGCTGGTTTCAAACTCCTGGGCTCAAGCAATCCTCCCCCTTGGCCTCCCAAAGTGCTGGGATTATAGGCGTGAGCCACTGTGCTGAGGCTTCCTCAAGTATTTTTAATTTAAATTCTTTATATTCTATTGCATAGACAGTAAATGTTTCTTTTGAAACTACACAGTTATAATGTAACAAAATTCCCAAAAACTGAATGTGGAAGAATGTATACTGTAATACCACAAGCTTTCAGCTATCTGATCATCTGCCAGGTTAATGGAAACTTGGAATGCTTCCATAAAAGAGAATTGAAAATTAACTTATGATGAGAAGAGAATCAGAGAACGGTAAGATTTAGAGTCAGAAGAAACATCAGAAATAACATTGGTCAAAGTTCTTAATCTAGTACTTAAAAAAACAGTTTCAAAGAGATTAAGTGACTTGCCTGAAGTAACATAACCCATTATGAAAATCTAGAACTAAAGTTAGCTATGCTAACTCAAAAATTAATACCTTTCCCAAAGCATTGGTAAAACTGAATGAATGAATGAATGAATATGAAGTTAAAATACTATTTTCTCACTTTGAAAATAAAATAAAAAACTAAGTGTGGAATTATACTACTGTAATACCCTCTAAGAATCCTCTTGAGAGCAACTTAACATTCAGACCCTGAAGAGGTCCAAATGGCACCTGTTTTCTTGGCAGCATAACAGCATTGGGTGATCTTCTTCTGCCGAGTCCCTCAAGCAGGTGTAAGGAGATGAGATCCATATGGGGCAGATATGAGAGACACTATGGCATCCAAAATTCATACCCCACAGGTATGAAGAGTCACTAAACTCAATGACACCTAGCGCTCTGCCTTTCATTGAATATTAATAGTTCTACCAATCCAGATCTGAAATAATGTTTATTATAAACAATACTGCCTAGTAATACAGTTTTAACCAGGTCTTCAGGGGAACAGAACTAGAGTTAAGCAAAGATCAAATTCTCATGCGGAAAAAGAGAGGATTTTGTTAACTCTTCACTCACAATTATATATACTGTAAAACTATATACAGAATGTGAAGTAATCTTAATGGAAAAAATAATATTACCAAGCTTTACCTGTTGCTAAATTATAAGAAATTCAAGAAAAAATGGATGGTTATGCCCTAAATTTTAGCTTAAAATATCTCCCAAGAAGTGAATGAGAATGTCTTTACAGCATAATATTACAGATCCAGTGTATAAGGCTGAACTTAGAAACTTATAACAGAGCAATGCAGATGCACAGTGCATTTTTGCTATTACCAGGTTTTATATATATATAAAGTTAAAAAATATATATATATATCTATATGAGGGGGGACTTTTTTTTTTTTTTTTTGAGATGGAGTCTCACTCTGTCGCTCCCGGCCACCACAGCCTCGACCCGCTGGGCTCCAGTGATCGTTCCTCCTCAGCCTTCCGAGTAGCCGGAATTACAGGCATGCACTACCACGCCCAGCTGATTTTTTGATTTATTGTAGAGATGAGGTCTCGCTGCCCAGGCGGGTCTCGAACCCGCAGGCTCAGGCAATCCACTCACCTCAGCCTCCCAAAGGCGCGGGATTACAGGCTGAGCCACCGAGTTCGGCTGACGGGGGACTCTTAAAAAAATCTGAAATTATCTTTTGGAGGGCAGGCCCCTTGTAGAACTCGAAATTTGTTCCTCTGGATCGAATGATCAAAGTTTTTCCTTGGAAATCTTGAGAAAATTGCACCATGATTTGCAGAAGAAATGTGGCAAGTTGAGGCCAACAAGTGACTGGTTCTTCCACCATGACAACGCACCTGACCACACCACAGTGAGTATTCAGCAGTTTTTGACCAAAAACGGCATGACTTCCATGCTCTACCCTCCTTATTCACCTGATCTCCCCCTAAGCAGCTCTTTTTTGTTTTGCCAGATGAAAAAAGTCCTCAAAGGGAAACGTTTTGCCAATGTGGAAGAGGTGAAACAAAAATGGCAGAAGTACTAGAAGGCATCAAAACTGATGAGTTCAAAAACTGTTTTGAGCAGTGGAAAAAGCATCTAGATAGGTGTACTGTACTAAACGAAGAGTACTTTGAAGAGTGGCTAAAGTTAAATATGTGAGAGTAAATACACAATTTTTAAATAAATAAATATCTAGTTTTTGGGGGGGCCTCTTCCCTCATCTATATTTATATTTAAATCTAACAGTTCATGTCTCCTTGTTTTTCATAATTATATAAGTACCACACTATAAGGAAAAATAATGTATACAGTTGGTCTTCTGTATCCACAGATTCCACATCTTCGAATTCAACCAGCCATAGATCAAAAATCTTTCGAAGGACGGGCACCTGCAATCCCAGCACTTTGGCAGGTCGAGGACAGAGGATTGCTTGAGCTCAAGGGTTTGAGTCCAGCCTGTGCAACATGGCGAGACCTCGTCTCTACAATAAATAAAAAAATCAGCTGGGCATGTGGTGCATGCCTGTGGTTCCAGTTACTTGGAAGGCTGAGGCGGAAGGACAGCCTGAGCCTAGCAGGTCGAGGCTGCAGTGGCTGTGAGCGTCCTTCTGCACTCCAGTCTGTGAGACAAAGTGAGACTCCTACTCAAAAAAAAAGTTTTTGGAAAACAACAGCAACACAACAATAAAAAAATACAAATAAGAAACAAATACAGGGCTGGGCGCAGTGGCTCAAGCCTAAAATCCCAGCACTTTGGGAGGTTGAGGTAAGAGGATTGCCTGAACCCTCGGGTTTGAGACCAGCCTGGGTGACTTAACTAGTACTTTATCTCTACAATAAATCAAAAAATTAGCCGGGCATGGTGATGCATGCCTGTAGTTCCAGCTAGTTGGAAGGCTGAGGCTGAAGGATCTCCTGAGCCCAGCAGGTCAAGGCTGCAGTGGTCGGGAACGTGCCAGTGCCCTTCAGCCTGGGTGGCAGAGTGAGACTCCAACTCAAAAAAACCCAAACAAAACAATTCAGTAATAATAGCTAAATTATAGTACACATGACATTTAAATTGTATTAGGTATCATAAATAATCTAGGGATAATTTAAAGTATATAGGAGAATGTGTGTAGGTTATATGGAAACACTACACCTCTTTTATATATAAGAGACTTAGGTATCCTCAGATTTTGGTATCTGCAGTGGATCTTGGAACCAAACCACCACTAACACCAAGGGACAACTGTATTCTATTTCCACTCATTAATTTTTCATATGCACAAGAATTTTTATATGGTACTCCGGATTTAGGTGTTATAGCCAATTCTCTTAGAATACAATTAGTTTTTGTCTTGTGTTTTTAATTTGACATTAAACTATAATACTATAATAATTTTCCACTTGGCTACAGTTAAGATCCTCCTGGGCAACTTGGCGAGACCTCATCTCTACAATAAATAAAAAAATCAGCTGGGCGTGGTAGCACACGCCTGTAGTTCCAGCTACTTGGAAGGCTGAGGCAGAAGGATCGCCGGAGCCCAGCAGGTCGAGGCTGCAGTGACCGGGAGTGGCCACTGCTCTCCAGTCTGGGTGACAAAGTGAGACTCCGACTCAAACAACAACAACAACAAAAAAAAAACAAATGTAATTTTCAATGATTTTGCAAATCCTTTTTTAAGAAGGCCAGCTCCCTTGCTAGCCTGTCTGCTTCCCTCTCTCCAACCAATCAACTCAATCTTGTTTATTTTTTAATAGAGACTGGGGTCTTGCTATGTTGCCCAGGTTGGTCTTGAACTCCTGGCCTCAATCAATTCTCCCGTGTTGGCCTCCCAAAGTACTGTGACCACAGGCATGAGTCATCATACCCATCCAGCCGCACCCTTACTAAGAACTAATTAATGTACTACAACTCAATTATTCTAACTGCTTTCAAGATTTCAGTTCTCTGTTGTGAGCATATGGAACGTTTCAAATTTCCATCAATTCTAAGTAATTCTATGATGAACATATTGCAGTTATAAATAACATTTTTTGCTAATTCTTTTTTATTTTCCTAGGAAAGATTTCCAATAGAAATCTTCTTGGAGCTAGTGATGGTGTAATGTTAATGGCTGTTATTATACATTATAAAATTGCTCTCTAAAACACTTGTTTCTATCTGAAACACTGACATAATGATAGTTTTAACTGTACAATAACCTCTACAAGGTATACAAACTATTGTTTTTAAAATACTTTACCAAATGAAAAAACAAACGTATCTCCATGTATTTAAAGAAATTAGTGAGATTGAAAACACTGCAAATGTTTGCTTATTCAAGATATATGATCTTTTGTGTTTTGTCTCTTCATGTTCTTTGTTTGCTTGTGTTCTAGAATCTTAAGTATTAATATAGTAACATCTACTTTCTCTTTATAAGGTTTAATACCAGAGAGCAAAATTTCAAAAACAAGAAAGTCAAAGTATTATCTCTGACACAGTGTGATAGCCCTAATGGTATAACGTTCTATTGGCTAAGCTTTTTCTAGAGTGCTAAGTTCCTCTGCAGAACTCTACTGTCAGGTGTTCTTTAGAATGCAATAGTTTGTTCCTCAACACCTCCACGCTTTCTTCTTTAATCTTCTGTATGAGCTATCTTTGGAGGGGAGGGAATGAAGGTCCTGCTTCACTCTGCTGGCTTGTGGAAAGTATCACTCTTTGCAAAAGAGAGAAGATTAAGTAGTGCAGTATGGAGGAAGCACTAGACCTGATCCTGAATTCTAAATTCTGGTTCTGCTCCTACTGGTT